GAGAGGTGATATGATAGCCGTGTTTAAATATTTGAAGTGATGTCATATAAAGGAGGGAACAAGCTTGTTTTCTGCTGCTCCAGAGATTAGGACCCAAAACAATGGATGCAAGCTGCAAGAAAAGAGATTCCACCTCAACATTAGGAGGAACTTCCTGACAGTAAGGGCGGTTCAACAGTGGAACGCACTCCCTCGGAGAGTTGTGGAGTCTCCTTCCTTGGAGGTCTTTAAGCAGAGGCTGGATGGCCATCTGTCAGGGATGCTTTGATTTGGAGTTCCTGCATGGCAGAGGGTTGGACTGGATGGCCCTTGTGGTCTCTTCCAACTCTATGATTCTATGATTCTATGATTCTACACTCCACTTAAAAAGCCATGACTCCATCCTATAGAAATTAGGGATCTGTAGTATGATGAGGCACTAGAGTTCTCTAGCAAAGTATTCTAAGTCCCTTGCAAAAGTATAAGTCCCAGAATTCCATAGGATAGTGCTATAACAATTAAACTGGTCTGAAAGTGGGTACAATTGTATTAGTGTCAAGGGCACCACTGTCTTGTCAGTCCATTGGTCCATCTATCCTAGTTTTATCAACATTAACTTGTAGAAGCTCCTTATGGTTTCAGACAGGAATTTACCCAGCCCTACCTGGAGATACCAAGGATTGAACCTGGGAACTTCTGCATGCAAACCATGAGCTCTCCCACCGAGCTACAGACCCATCCAGTTGCACATAAAATTGAAGGAACAGAGGAATCTGTCTTGCAGCAGGTCAAATTATCCATCCTCTAGGCTTTCTTTTCTGATTGGCATTTGCTCTCCAGGATCATCTTCTTCTTCTTCTTCTTCTTCTTCTTCTTCTTCTTCTTCTTCTTCTTCTTCTTTTTCTTCCCCCGCCTCTCTGTTAAAAACAATTGGGGTGGGTTACAGCAGATAAAATACAGACTACAGAATAAGACCCCACCCTCTCTCAGCTTCCCTTAAAAAAAGCATTAAACTAAGTACAATTTAAAACCAACAATTAAAATAACATCAAATCAAATCAAAATATTACAAACAGCTACCTTAGTAGCAGCAAAATAACTGTGGCAGCATTCCATTGCATCAAATTAAAAACTGAAAGGGCTTAGGAGGCTCTCCTAATGGAATATCCTGAGGCCAGGGATATCTATTCAGAAAAGGCCTGTCAGAAGAAATCTGTCTTGACAGCCTTTTTAAAGTTGTCTAAAGATGTCAATTGACAGATCTCATCTGGCAGACCATTCCACAATCTGGGGGCAACAACAGAAAAGGCCCTCTGGGAGGTAGCTGATAGCCTAGATCTTTGTGGCTGCAGCAAATTCCTCCCAGAGGACCAGAGTGCACCGGGAGGATTGTAAAGGAGGAGGTGGTCCCTGAGATAGTTTGGACCCAAGCCATGTAGGGCTTTAAAGGTGATAACCAACACCTTGTACTGGGCCCAGAAACTAACAGGCAGCCAGTGGAGGGACCTTAGTACTGGGGTAATATGGTCTCTCCTAGATGTTCCCGACACTACTCTGGCTGCTATATTCTGTACCAATTGCAATTTCTGAACCAAGCACGAGGGTAGCCCCATGTAGAGCACATTGCAGAAATCCAGATGTGAGGTTACCAGCATGTGTACAATGGTCTCGAGATCCCTTACTTCCAGAAAAGGGTGCAGCTGGTGTATCAGCCAAAGCTGATAACAGGAGCTCCTGACTGTCGCATTTACCTGATTCACCATCAGGAGCGACGAGTTGAGGAGCACCCCCAAGCTGTGAACACAGCTTGTTCCATTGGCTGTTCCCTGATCAAGAGCTTGGAAGCATTACTTTTTGGATTCAGCCTTTCAGTTTTCCCCAACTAATATGGCCATTGGCCATAATGGCTAAGGAATTTAGAGAGTTGTAGGGTTTTTTCTTTTGTTAAAAAAAGTATCATTGCAAAGCTCCACTCAGATCCTTCTATCAAGATATTGTTGGACTAATCAGAGATCTTCTGCATACAAGCACTGGCTCTACCAATGACTTGCATGCACTTCAACTGTGGGAGAAGTTTATACTAACAACTTTTTCAGATGCCATCTCCAAGAGATAGCAGCAGCAGCCACAACAACAAAAAGAGTAATTTTCTAGGGATAGTGACCAGGAAAATTGTAAACAGAAACATACAGAACATATGTTTTCTTTTGTTGGTGGCAGTGCAACCCAGGGGAAAGGAACTCAGCCTTTTTGTTGGTACTTCTCACAGTTCTGGTTATGCATTCCAGCAACCAGTTATAATGATTCGTAGCTGCTATTTAGGTTAGCAGTGGGAAGGAGTCCCACAGATGTTTGTATATTACAGGTGTGGATCCATAGAAGGCTCTCCTTGGTCCTATTTTAAATATACACACATTGCCATATGTGTGGATGTCATTTTTATCTGAACATAAACACTTATTCCATTGTCTCTTTCCATATCAGAAACAGAATGCAATATACTTTCATGAAGCATACGCTTGGGAAGTCACTAAAATCTGGTCCAAAAATGCCATACATTATAATTAAAAATACATTTTTGAAGACAATTCATTTCAAGTTGTTTCGGCATTTTCCTAAATAGTCTGTTCTCCTGAATTGAGGCCAAGAAAGCAATTACTTTGTCAGCCTTTATATTCATGGATATGACTTTTTAGGCAATCTGTAGATGCAGGTTTACTGACAGAATTATGAAAAGCCTTGGAAGGGATTCCACAAACATTTCAAAATAGCTTTTCAAGAGCCACAACAAGATGAAAGTAACAGCAAGACATATTCAAAGTACTCTGTTGCATATTCATTTTATACTTTAGTATGTGTCTAGCTCTTTTATAGACAGGATCCTACATCTCTGACCAAGACAACTTGTCTTGGATTTTTCAAAGGAAACAACTTTCATGGTCAGTAATTCTAGAATATGCTCTTTCAACTATGGAGGCTGGCAAGTATCTCTATGGAATCAATTGATACCAGATTTTTCCCTGTTCTGGAGGGATGGGATCTTTGCAATCACAGATCACTTTGTCTCAACAGAATCTGTGGCTGGGCAAGGATTTCTTGGTCTCACTATTTATGGAGATGTTTACACATGCTCCTGAGGAAAATATTGATTTGCTTTAGAAAGTGATGGATAATGATGAAAGAGGTGCAAACAGGAAGGAGGGACATTTTGTGCATGCAAATGTATATAAGTAGTTTCATATTAGTATGCTTGTAGAAAAAAAAGCAAAGCATCTTGTGTATTATTGTCCAATCCAAATAAACAAGCATGGAAAACAATCCAAAGAGTACTATGCAAAAAACAGAATAGATGAAGGCATGCAGCCTGCTCAGCTGTGTGGTAGAGTATGTTAGATTTGTACATTGCTGCTCTGTTATCCAAAAAGGTGATGGTGGTGGAGGACTGGGGGTCACTCTCAACTGTGTCAGTGTCCTCTTAAATGTTGGGGAAATTGTTTAACTCCAGGAGGCCTGAGAGAGTTTGGGTAACCTAAGGATAATTTTCATCTTTGTATACCAGTACTAACTGTAGGAGAACTCCAAGTTTGGTTAAAAAAAGAAAAAGTTTTTTATTCGGAAATATACAAGAGTGCAACCAAATAAACAATATCAATTCAGGCAGAAACAAGAGCTAAGTGAAACAGATGTATGAAAATTGGATAGTGGAGGCTTAGAATTGTAGTGGGGGTATATTTACCTGTCCTGAACAGGAAACCATGGAAAGTGGGATGTGGCTCAGATGGTGTCTAAGAATGACAGAGTGAGTGGAAGAGGTTCTCTGTGCACACATGAGCCTAGAGCTGGAGCTGATATTTATATCTGATATCCTAACCTCAAGGATTGCTAGATGCTATCCTGCATTGTAACAAAGGCCTGATGGTCTTTCCAGGAAATTGAAAATGGGATTCTGGAATTACTGACAGTTTTAACTTCAGAATGAGAAAGACATTGATTGCATTTAGGACAACTTCAAGATAGATGGACAGGGAAGTTGGATGGGAACCCAGCAGGAGGCTGGTAGGAAATATGGTCTTACTTGTGTTTGCCTTTGTCTCCTGTGTGAAAGGATGTGAGGGAGGCCTGGGGTGGGAGGATGGAGTGATCAGTAATCCCATTTAACCTTTATCTTGGTATTACCTGGGTTCTTCACATGCCTTTGGGACAATTTGACCTTCCCATGGGAAAGCTTCCTGATGTTCCAAAGGTCATCATGACCTCTTAAGAAAATACCTAGCTCCAGGTATAAAAAAATATGAAAATATGAAGCCCTATATACAAAGCAGAGGGTGTTGGGTATGCTAATAACTCTCAGTTCATCCTGAAATCCTATCCAGCTTGTCAATTCACCAAACAATAATCCCAGGAACCACTATGTATTATGTACTCCTAATTTCTTGTGCAGTAGAAGCAACAGGGCTATTAACAACAAAAATAGCATTGATACTTCATGATTTTCACTGCTAATTAGTGTTTGTTATCTAGGATACTCCTTTAATCCTTCCCCAAATGCTGTTGTTGATGTTCTTCCTGCTTTCTATCCATCTCTCCTTCATGCATATAATCTCTCATATACCTATAAAGAATGTGACAGAAACAATCATTTGGGGTTTTCCTTTTATTTGTTGTAGTTCCCCCAAACTGATGAGGCAAGTTGTGGTTCCATTTCCTATTCTGTTGATTCATTTAGTTTGATGACTGCAATGGCAAATGTTATAGGGGTTTCTGAGAGAAATGTGTACATCATTTCCTCATTCTCACATGAACAGCTCCTTTGGAGCATAGCTTCTAGAACTGTATCTCTTCTTCTGCACCACACAACCGGATTTGGAAATGTTATAGGAAAGGCACAGTTAAACAAAGGCACACAAACTCAAGAGGATTCATGCAGTAGCCATGTGTAACACAACAGTTCCTTGCATAAGTTTCTTTCTGTGCATTCCAAATCTTTATTGGTTTACAGCTGTAACCTGAGGGTATAATAAGATACTGAATCTTCTACAGGCAATGAAACAGATGATCAAACTCACAAGGGAGGCACTCTCAGGCATTTTCCAGCACCAACAAAACATATTAATCCTTGTCACTGTTTTCAGAGATGCTGTGACAGAAATAAACCTGTACTGTAACTTGGCCCTTTTAATGAGCTTCTGGAGTGGAGGACTTTCCATTCAGCACCTGAAAAACACAACAAAACACCTTTTACGTTAAATATGTGAGGTTTGCTACTGGCTAAATATGTACACAGAAATTTATAATTCACCAGTGCACAGCCAGATGGGAAGCCAGAGAACAAATTCAGATTCTGACATGAACTTCACAGACCAATTATCTACTTGGAATCATGGGAGTTTAACAAACAAATACTGGCTCCCGCTGAGCCCTTTCAGTCAGCAGCTTATGGGTGATTCAGTTGCATCCGAGGCTTTTAGCCTGATCAATTCTTAATCACAAAGCACCAAAAATTATTCTCAGACACTTGTCAGTTTCTTTGGACACCTTTGTTACAAATGTGCTTCAAAATCATCCTCTTCTGCCTCTCACCTCCCTCCAAGAACTGCAGACACTGTTTTTATTGACTCCCTACTTGTAAAATGTTTATAGCTTGTTAATTTATATTTACCCCCTTGCTTATGCCTGCAAATCAACATCACTTAGCACAGTTTGGTTACACTTTGTCCAAACGAAATTACAGCAGCTT